CCCTTTCCTATTAGATGTTGAATATTTTTCTTATTGATTGGTAGATTTTCTTTACATATTTTGAATACTTATCCTTTTTTGTATTATGGGATGTCAAATATTTTCTCTTAAGTTATGTCTCTCATTTTGATCATGTTGTCTACTGATATACAGAAATAAAAATTTTAGAAAGTCAAATTTGTCAATCTTTTGTTTTATATCTTATGTGTACCTTTTACTTTGAGAAAGGCTTCTTTGCCTGGAGGCATAAAAGTATTCACTTATACTTTTTAAAAAATTGTTGTTAAAAACAAATGAAATTTACCATCATAACCATTTTTAAGTGTACACTTCAGTAGTGTGAAGTTTATTAAAATTGTTGTACAGGAGATCTCCGGAACTTTTTTCATCTTGCAAAACTGAAACTCTACTCACTAAACAACAACTCCCCATTTCTCCCTTCCCCCTCACTTATACTTTTTTCCTAATAACTTGAGATCTAATTTTCACCTTTTAGGTATTTAATCCACCTGTCATTTTCTTCTTTTTGGTGGTATGGGATATAAATGTCATTAATTTTTGCTCAAATAGTTTTCCAGTTTTCCCAACACCATTTATTGAATAGTCTGTCTAATGCCACATGCATCCTTTGTATATATTAAGGTCCCATATTTACAGGTATCTGTTTCTACAATTTCTGTTCTGTTCCATTAATGTATTTTTGTATTCATATGTTATTACCACCTAGTTCTAGTTACTGTGGCATAAAAATTCTATTTGCTGTCTGATGGTACAAATAATCCTGCTTTATTCTTTTTCAAAATGGTCTTTGCTATTTATATTTATATGCATATATGTGTATTTTCTCTGTATTTCTAATCAACCACATAAGAGGTATGAAAAATTCTATTAGGATGTTATTTGGAGGTATATATATATTAATTTGGGGAGAATTAATATGTATATTGACTGTTTCTCCATTTATATCATAGAGTTTTTTTCTTCTGGAGACTTCTACTTGAAGACCTTATACACATCTTACAGAGTTTATTATTCCTAGGTGATTTTTATTTTTGTTTCTTCTGAGATGGGATAATTCTCATTTTTAAAAAAATTGTAGTCTATTCCTTCCCCATTCTAATTTCCCCTTACTCTATTTTATTTTATATATTCATAGCATTTATCACCTTATACTAAATTAAATAATTTACCTATTTATTATGTTTGTTATTATTACCTGTCTTCCTCACACTGTCCCATAACCTAGAAAGATAAAGATCCATCTTTTATTTCTTAACATCATACTGAGCATTTATATTAATTCTACTAGTGTTTCACCCAATTCTCTTCGAGTTTTTAGGGATAGATATTTATATTATATGCAAATAACCTATTGGGGGTGTTTTTCTTTCCAGAATTAGTATGTTTTGTTTTATTTTTCTTGATTTACTACATTGGCTAGGGCTTCTAGTATTGTGTTGAATAGTACAAGTGATTTTCCTCCTTATCATCTTGTTCTTAACATACATGAGAATATATCTATTTTATTCTTAAATATAATGTTTACCATGGGTTTCTGAAAGGTTTTAACAAAGTACAGAAGTTCTTTTTTGTTTCTAACTTGCTAAGAGTTTTTATTTTTGGATTTTGAATTTTATTAGTGGGAAAAGTCACATCAGTTGTCTCTAGGTGAGTTTTCACCATTCTGTAGATGACACCACCAAGAGGAGGGAAAGTTGAACAGATAAGAGCTGGCTTGTGGCTTCGGTTAGAGCACAGCCTTGTAACACCAGGTGGAGGGTTTGGATCCCCAGGCTGGCCAGCCACCCAAAAAAAAGAAGAAGAAAGTTGAATAGATAGTGGTTGCTACGAAACAGCAGTTGATCAGAGCTTTTGGGCACTCTTACAAGGGTGTAGAGTAGAGACAATTAGAATTCAGAGTTATCAAGGTAGCTAGGGCTTAAGTGGCCAACATGCTGAGAAGACAATCAGAGAGAAATGAGTTCAGAAGTCTGAAACCATATTTCCCCTGGAAGTTGTCACAGCTTAGTAGCATCACAAGCTCATAGGCAGAAAAGTTGAGCAGAAAGTGATTGCTCAGAGTCTGAGAAGCTAAGCAAAGTTTTCAGCAACCTCATGGTGCTAGAGATAGATGAGTCTTGGTAAATACCCTAGGTTTTCAGCAGAAATCTCTGAACAAGTGCATCCTAGCATTAAGAGTGAACCAAAAGTAGACCAGGTCTCAATAAGATTGAAAATGAGCTTCAAAGTAGCTTAATCTCTGATTGGATTTGCTCCCACTGCCAACTAAAACTGAAGAAACTCTTCTATTGAAGATAATATTCACGTCCTCTACAATTTTTGTGACACAGTGACTGACATTCAATCCCCAGATTCCAGGCATGCCAAGAGTCAGAAACAACAGAACAAACAGATATAGAAACAGACACATGTGATCGGATGTGGACTTCAGTGAAAAATGTTGTGCCACTTCCTTCATCTCTCCTTTGTTTCTAATGAGAAATCTGCTGTAATTTAAATAGTTTTCTCCCATAGGTAAAACGTTGTTTCTCTCTCACTGTTTTCATTCCTTTTTCTATGTCTTTAGTTTTCAGAAGTTTAACTATGATATGCCTTTGTGTGGATTGCCTTGGGTTTATCCTGTTATGGTTTACTTAGCTTCTTGAATCTGTAAATTTATGTGTTTTGCCAAACTTGGGAAGTTATTAGCCTTTATTTCTTAGAGTAAAGCCCTACCCTCTTTTTTCTCTGCTTTGGGACTCTGATGACATGGAAGATAGATCTTTTATTATAGTCACACAGGTCCTGAGGTTCCATTTATTTGTTTGCAGTTTATTTTCACTCTTTTGTTTAGACTGATAGTTTCCATTGTTCTGTCTTCCAGTTCAGTGATTCTTTCCTCTGTTTTATTCTTTCTATTGTTGCACCCATCCATTGAGTCTTTTATTTCAGTTATTGTGTATTACAGTTCTGAAATTTCCGTTAAAAAACATATTTTATTATGTTATTCTTTATATCTTTTCTTTCTTTCTTTGCTGTATCTATATCTTCTTCATATCTTTCTTTTTGAGACTCTTCTTTTTAAGTGTGTATGTAACTGCTCCTTGAGTCATTTTTATGATGACAACTTAAAAATCCTTTTCAGGTAATTTTAACATCTCTGTCATCTTGGTATTGGCATCTGTGGATTGTCTTTTTTCATTCAGTTTGAGGTATTCCTGGTTTTTAGTATGATAAGTGATTTTCCATTTGTTACCTGGACATTTTGGGTATTATGTTCTGAGACTGAGGATCTTATTTAAATGTTCTGATTTAGCTGTCTTCCTTTGGCACTTTCCCAGTATGAGAAGTGCCTCATTACTGGACCATGGAGATAGAAGTCCAGGGTCCCCACTTTTCCTCTTTTGAAGCTCAGGTTGGGGGGAGATTTCTCATTATTGCTGGTCATGGATTGGAGTTCTGGCCTCCACTGACTCATCCTTCGTCAGCAGGAGCAGGAATACCTCATTACTGTTCCCCACATGGCATCCACAGTGGGATGGTCTGTATGCGGTGGGGAAAGGCCTGACTCAGCACTAGGCCTCATTTGACACCAGCGTATGGCAGAGAGGGAGAGGGGTACCTTGCTACTGCCAGGTGGAAGTCCAAGCTCTCCATGTATTCTTCACTGACACCATGGGGATGTAGGTCTCATTATCACTAGGCAGGGACTAGATCCCTACCAGCCTTCTCTGATACTACTGTCGTGGGTGTAGTTGAGTGCCCTATTGCAGCTTGAGAAGGGTGGAAAACTAGGCTCCCCACTTGACTTTTGCTGGTGGGGGTGGGACCACAGTTTTGTGTGTGTGTGTGTGTGTGTGGGTGTGTGTGTGTGTGTGATGTTTCACTAAATATAACAGCTTTTGTCTAGATTGTTTCTTACCTGATCTGTTGGTTAGAGAGAGCAGGATTTTGTTTAGTTTGGTGTTTTGGTGGGTCTGGTCCTGTTGGTTTCTAGGCCGCCTGCTTCTTCAGCTCCAGGTCTCACTACCATGTCATTTTCCCTGGATCCTGAGATTCGTGCCTGATCTACCTTTTCTTCTCCTTCAGAGTCTTCTTATGTGTGTTATATGTAATGTTTAGGGCTTTTAGTTTTACCTAAAGGGAAAAATAGGGAAAAGTACATCTATTCCACCTTCCCAGAAGTAGAAGTTGTCAAGTACTTTTATTTTTTAATTGTTTAGTTTTCATGATAATTAAAACTTTCTTTAAGTCTATTTGCCACATGCTTGATTGAGTCACTGTGGCTCATTTTTAGGACTTTAAAATTTTTTAAAATGAAAGTGTGGCTCGTCATCTAGAAATGGAAGTTTTGGAATTAATCTTAATTATTTATTTATTTTTATTTTATCAGTATACAATATAGTTGATTTTTGTGTCCCTTTAACCAATTCCTCCTTTTCCTCCCTCCCTCTGGAATTAATCTTTTAGTCTTAAGAATTATTTTGTAGAAAGAGAGATAATTTTCTATATTCCATTTTATTAAAAATACACACATAAAATCTCTAGTTTTTATTTGCTTCAAGAGGTACGTTCCAGGGCCGGCCCGGTGGTGCACTGCTATAGTGCGCCGCTTGGGAAGTGCAGCAGCGCTCCCGCCGAGGGTTCGGATCCCACATACAGACCGGCCGCTCACTGGCTGAGCGAGGTGCAGGAGCAACACCGAGGGTTGCGATCCCGTGGCCGGTCCCGGTCCGGTACGGGCGCGACACTGAGGGTTGTGATCCGTTGCCGGTCACACACACACACACAAAAAAAGACAAAAAGACAAAAAAAGGAAGAGGTACGTTCCAGTGTAGTTTACGTATTAATTATACATATCATAATGAATTAAAAATTGTGCTTTAAATATATTACATTTATTTACTGACTCCTCCCATTTTCTAAAGTAGATTGCATTAACTTCATGTGATTGATCCAAGTAGATCCAACTGACTGTCATATTGTTTTCCTAATTTCAGATTCCCTTTACAACTACGTCAGAGAATGAATTAATTTCCTAAGAAATCACTAAATACTACTCTGAAGTGTTTCAAATAAACGGGGTAAGTGTAATATCATCTTAAATGTTGCCTAGATTTTTATAGTGAATTCCCAATTTGGGCCTATACTGTGCCAGGCAACTAGCTGGACACTGGGAAGAACATCTTCACTTTTATTTTGCTCTATGCCTGCAGTAGTTTTCAATTTCCTTTGGGATCAGGGACTTCTTTGAGGGACTTCTTAAAGCTATAGATCTTTTCGCAGACCTTCACACATATCCAGTCAGAGGTTGGAAGACTTGCTGAAATTCCCTGGAGTTCACAGACCCTGGGTAATCCTCTGCTTTGCAGTTTTTAAGACATTTTTACATGCTTTGTTACTCTTTTAATTAAATATCACAACCCTGTGAATTAGTGGCAGGTATTGATATTTTATAATGAAGAAACTGCTGCTCAAAATGGTATGTGACTTGTCCAGTAACACAGCTGTCAAATTGAAGACTTTTCCAAGTTGTCGTAATTCCTTCAGAGAGTATCAACATTTTTAAAGGTTCTTGCTACTTAATGTCAAATTGTACTGTAGTAAGGTTGTGTCAACCTTTCCTCACTGACAGCAAGTGAGCAAGCCTGTTACACCACATAATCACATTGAGTGTTCTGCCACCCCAGTGTTTGCTAAATTGATATGTACACAATGGTATTTCATTTTAAGTTTTTTTTGTAGTATTTAAGGTCCTCTATTCACTTATCCATTGGAGTCTTACCAATTTCTATATCATTTTGTATAGATTTTTAATATATTTAGAATATTAACTTTGACAAGTTCTTTTGCAAATACATTCCCCTTTCTATTTGCCTTTTCATTTTATGTTTTTTAAGTATACAAGTTTCAAAATGTTCAAGTATTCAGATCTAGTATGTCCTCTAATTTTTTTAATGTAGGAATTTCCAAACATTTGACATGTTCCCGTGAATGCAAACACATAAATTCACACTTTTAAAAAATGTAATAGGAATCTAAAAGATTAAAAAAGCAGTTGTCATTTAAGTTCAATTATTTGAGTTCTTTTTGTCATATGTTTATTGACTGTTGGTCTTTCAACTACTCTGAATATTTTAAAAGTAATCTTTCATAATTCTTAGAAATGATATGTGATTCCCATATATAATGCATTTATCTGCCTGTACTAATGTTCCTTTGATCAAATTCTCTATCACTGCATAATTATCATATTGTTTTAATATTATCGCAGCTTTAAAGTCTTCTTTTATAGTTTTTCACAAATGTTTTTCTTGCTCTTCTTTCCTATTCTTACAGATTAACTTTAGAATATATCGAGTTAAAAAGTAAACATACAAAGGATTTTAATTAGAATTGCATTGAGTTAAAGATTCATTTGGGGGGAAGAATTGACATCTATGTATTATATCTTTCTGGGTGTCTTATATTGTTCATTTCCTCCAGCCTTTGCTATACTTTTTTTTATGTTTCTTCTACACATAACACAACTTGGAATTAAAGATCTTCTCTATCTCTGTCCTCTTGGGGACTTTTCTTATACTCTCTGGTTCCTAGGAGCCTTCCTGGTCCTTTCACTAGAAGGCTGGGGTTTCTTTCTCTCAGACTCTTAGAGTTCTCCTCTTCCACTTTTGCACTGTTTTGCCCCATTGAGGCCCTTCTTACTGAAGCAGTAAGGGGAAAAAAAGAGAAAAATACATGGGGTTTCTTTCTCTCAGACTCTTAGAGTTCTCCTCTTCCACTTTTGCACTGTTTTGCCCCTTTGAGGCCCTTCTTACTGAAGCAGTAAGGGGAAAAAAAGAGAAAAATACGTAGTGAAGATTCCCTTCATATTCTTCATACTATCCTTGCCCCTTTTCCAGTTTCTCAGAACAAAAGAATGGGTTTCTCTTAAGACTTTTAGGTGTCCTGCCTCAGTAGTACAGCTTCATGACTTGAACTGGCTTTGAGGCAAGGTCAGCAGAGGAAAAAACAAAAACAAAAAGAAAAGGAACTAGGAACTCCACTCCTACCGCCCCAACTCACGCATTTTTTTCAGCTCACAGATACCTGTTTTACTCCAGCTAAAAAGAGAGTTTTTTTCTTGGAGTTTTTGCTGTATATGCCTGCTGCCTAATTCTGGAATTCTGGGACTGTTTGCCCTCAGGTCAAAGCAGTAGATAAAGGAAGGACTTTTTAAAAAAATAGTAAACTCACTACCATGTTGGTAGTTCTTCATGTTTTGATTTTCCTCCCCAATGTGCCTGCCATTGTTACTTTTCAGAGTTTTTAGTTGTAATCAATGAGGGGGATAGGCTGTGATGGGCTTACTCCGTCTTGGCCCTCACTGAAAATCAAGTTATTTCATTTTGAAAATAATTATTGTTTTTATTTTCCAAAAATTCTAATTGTTCCTTATTGCGTTTTAAGAACAGATTTTTCTTATGGATATATTGACCTCTTGAATCTCTCTCAGGGTTAGAGTTAAGAACTTTTTTTTTCTTTTTGTTACCTTACTGTATTTTCTTTGGGTCATTATGCCTCTGCTTTTTTACTTTAGTGCCTCTCTTGGTTTTTATTAAGTGACTGGTGATTCTTGGCTGTTCTTCTTTACAGTATTTTCAAATAAAGGTTGAAATCAATGGTTGTCCAACTTGAATGTGTATAAAAATCACCTGGAGACCCAGTTAACATGCAGATTCCTGGCCCCATTCACAAAAATCTGATTGCATAAGTTTGGGGTAGGGCACATGAACATCTTAGATGATTCTTATGCTGGTAGTTTGATGAAACCTTGAAATCTTGGTAGCTGGTGTAATTCTGTAAAGGCCAGTATTCCCCTTCATGAAATGTTGTCTTATCCACTGAATATCATGGCTGGCCATAGGACTGCAGTAAGCTTCCCACTTGCTTTGGTGAGTGGGAGGTAGGTTTCCCTGTACTTGCACAGACAAGGCTAACAAGCTGAGACCTGTCTCTCAATTTCTGCTATAGGGAAGGAATTTTTCTGCAGGGAGAGTTCTGATTAGTTCTAAGATGTCATCCTTTTTTTTTTCTCCCCCCTCCATTGAGATTGTCCCTAGCCTGCTGTAATTTCCATTTCAAAGTTCACACTGTAAGCCCTTGGACAAAGACTTTAGACTCATAATAAGTGCTATGGCCAGCACTTGTATACCAGAAGAGTTGTACTGGCCATCTTTGGTAGTTTTTCACTAAGTTTTTCTGTGGTCTTCCCTCACCCCCAGTCCCTCCTGACGTGAGGTGGTTAATAGGGAGAAGAGGCAGATGAATGGGCTCAGTCTGCTGTCTTGAACTGAAAGTCCACTGTTAATCTCAAAGTGATGTTGCTTTCTAATGTGCCAAGAAGTGTTTCTATTTAATTCTCACATAAAATAATCATCATAAAATCTGTAGCAGGACCACAGCATACTCATACTCAGGTGTGCAAAGAAAATGTAGCTTCTTTATTTTTCTATAACTAATCTCTTCCTTTTGATGAACCATAGTTACTGGATACCTGGGGAACAAGAACCAGACTTACTCCAGTCTGGTAAAGTAGGTCTTATCCAATCAAATCGTTCTCTTTGGATATTTCTGTCTCTGTTTGGGTACTACTCTGTAAATATCATCTCTTCCCTCACACCTTCCCACAGTGCAATCCAGACTTACGGTTCGGGTTTATGTGGCGTGTGTCCTTCTAGAAGAGGAATGGTGTGCCAAGACGCTCAGTCTATGTGGTATATTCTCTGGTTTCTCATTGGTTTCTCCTTTAAAGTGTCTTGGTTGGGTTACTCCCTGGAATTGTGACCACTCAGGTGTTACCAGTACTGTCCTTGGGTAAAACAGAACTAGTTTACAAATGATATTACTTGAGATCTGTTCTACGGTGCATTGTCCATCTTCCCTGGTTTCAGGGATAGTCTGAGGTCTGGCTCAGTCTTCCCACTGGCCTCCCTAGCCAGGTGGTCTCTCTTCCAGGCCTCTCCTGTGGAGTTACTTGCTCCTATCAGGGTGGCCTCTTCTGGCAAACCCACCATCCAGCACCTTAAGTTACCTTTCCTGTCTACTTTAGAGCACATAGGAATTTCCCAGTGCCTCCCATGTCACATGGAAGATAAGGGAGATGCCGGAGCTGATCTTGCATTCTTCCTCAAGCTCACTGTGCTTCTGTGCATATACTTTGGTATGGCCATCAGATTGGAAGTGTGTGAATGTGTATGTGTGGGCATACACATGCGTATATGGCAAAGGACCCTCCTGAAAGGCAGTGACTTTGCACGATCTTGGTGGGAAGCAGAGCAGAAGCCATTTCAACTCCCAGATTTCCTCCTTCTATCAGACATTCCTTTCCTTCTGCAGCCTCTACATGGAGAAGGCAATAGGAGTATTGGTCACTTGCATCTCCTTTCTCTGTCCTACTTTCTTATCCCACAATCCCACAATTCTTTGGCCATAATCAGTAGTTTGGGGCTTTAATTTACACTTTCTCTTGGTTGTATCATCCTTTCTACCCTGGGTAGCAGGCCTCATGTTCTACCTGTCATGAGCAGAAGGGATGTCTGTTCTAAACTGGAAGAAACTATAATTCGACACGTTCTTTCTTTTTTCACTGTTCAGTAGCTCCATCTTTATTAGGTAATATTGATTTCTCCTAAATACAGTATTTTTATACCCAGTTTCTTTAACATAACCACAAAGTGTGTCATTAGGGTATATGCTACATCCTGAATGAAAGACATGCAGCAAATATAGTACAGAGAAAACAAATAAATCATATTATCAGCTTTCCTCTGCTCTATGGCTGGCCATAGTTTGAGTAATTTCATTAGGCTGTTAGCTTTAAATCAATAAAGACTAACAGAAGACTTATTCAGTGATAGGTACAATTCTTCAAAACATGCAGTGTTTGCAATGAAAAAAATTTGGTGCCTTCAGGATTCTAGGCTTAGATTTTTTTTGTTGTGTCTCACACATGACTTAAAATACTGCCAACTACTTGCTGACAGCTATTAAGGTTTAGAATGTGATAAAGAACAGAGTGGAATGGAACCACTAAGTGGTATTT